CAAGCCCCTCCCCGAAGGGGAATACAAGGGGTTGGAAGGGCAAGCTCCCTAGACCACCTACGCCCAGAAGGCTGGTGGGGCTACCCTGGCGAAAGACCCGACCATATGCAGTTGTAGGCAACGCGTTGTCAATGCCACGTTCGGTGGACCACGCGCCGCGTGATGGGGCGTGCCGTATTGAATGGGCGGGGTACGCGCACGGGCGGTTCCCTTTGGGGCGTTCGGTGGAGCTCCATGTGGGGCCACGAACGTTGTAGTGGATGGTGGGCGGTGCCACTGGGGCCTTCGCTGGAGCTCCCAATGGTGCTGCCAAACGCTGTGCTGCGTGTGGCGGGCGCATGCGGGCGGCCTCACTGGGACAGTCGTTGGAGATCCCCATGCTGCCACGACGCGCTGTACTGGGTGTGGCGGGCGCGTGCGAACGGCCCCACTGGGGCCTTCGGCGGGGCTCCATGTGGGAGCACGAAACGCTGTGCTTGGAGTTGCGGACGCATGCGGGCGGTCTCATTGGGACGGTCGGTGGAACTTCCGATGGGGACACGGAGCGCTGTACTGGGTGTGGCGGGCGCGTGCGGGTTGTTCCACTGGGGCCTTCGGCAAGGCCCCCTATGCGGCCACGGCGCGCTGCGCTGGGTGTGCGGGCGCGCGCAGGTTGTCCCACTGTGGCTTTCGGTGTGGCTTCCTATGGGGCCACGAAGCGGTGTGCTGGGTGTGGCGGGCGCATGCGGGCGCCCCTCCTGTGGCCTTAGATCGCTGTGCTGGGCGTGGCGGACGCACGCGGGCGGTCCCAATGTGACATTCGGTTGGCCCCCCCCAGGGGGGCACGACGCGCCATGCTGGGTGTGGCGGGAGCGCGCGGGCCGTCCCACTGGGACCTTCGGTGGAGCTCCCTACGGGGCCACGAAGCGCTGCATTGGGCGTGGCGGACGCATGCGGGCAATGCCATTGGGACCTTCGGTGGGGATCCATATGGGGCCACGACGCGCTGTGCTGGGGGTGGCGAGCGCACGCGGGCGGTCACAATACGGCATTCAATTGGGCCCCCTATGCGGCCACGAAACGTTGTGCCGCGTGGCGGACGCGTGCGGGCAGCTCCGCTTGGACCTTCGGTGGGGCTCCTTATGGTGCCACCAATCGCTGTGTTGGGTCCAGCGGGCGCATGCGGGCGGTCCCACTGGGACCTTCGTTGGGGATCCCTTTTGGGCCACGGGGCGCTGTGCTGGGTGTGGCGGGCGCACGCGTGCGGTCCCATTCGGGCTTTCGGTGGGGACCCATCTGGTGCCACGAAGCGCTGCACTGGGCGTGGCGGACGCATGCGGGCGGCCCCACTGGGACTGTCGGTGAAGGTAGCTATGAGGCCGCGGAACGCTGTGCTGGGCGTGGCGGGCGCATGCGGGCAATCTCATTGGGACCTTCGGTGGGGCCCCCCATGGGGCCACGAAGCGTGTCAGGGGTGTGCCGAACGAGGAGGGAGGCCGACATGGGTGGCGTTGGCGGTGGCGATAATGATAGTGTGACGATCGTGATGATGGGAGGAAGGAGGAGGGGGCGGAAAAACGCGGAGTGAGACGCGGGGCACTGTCCCATCAACACGAGGACCCAACACTACACGATGGTCGGGGACACAACGGAATCCAGAACCACCTGCCGTCTCCATCCTCTCCCTCCCTCTTCCCCTACTCCTGCTTACCCTTCCCCCCACTTCCCCTTGCCCTCGCTTTTGCGCGTGCCCTCCCCTCGCCTTCCCTCCGCCCTCTCCCTCGCTCCCTCCACCTTCCTCTCTCGGCGGCCCCCTCCCCCCCTCTCCCCGCCCTCCCCCGCCCCCTCCCTCGACTCTCGCCCTCCCTCCCCTCGCCCACCACCGCCCGCCCTGCCACGCACCTCGGGCTCGTCCACGACTCCAGGGGCGTGCTGGAGATCGCAAGCGACACCGAGGATGGCGTCGGGGGGGGGGGACGAGGACTGCTTTTGAAGAAGACCTCCTCCTTTTCAGCCTCCTTTTTCTCTTCCTCCTTCTCCCCCTTCCCCCTCATCCACCTCCTCCTCACCCAAGCCATGCGTGGCTCGAATGTGTTTCTCGAGGTGGCGCAGGGCTACGCCAGCTCGAGGGTCGCAGAAACCTGCCAAGACCACACACCACTCCAACACCCACGCACCACCCGCCCACCGCCCACCCACCACGCACACACTCGCCCACCACCCGCCCACCGCCCACCCACCACCCACCCACCCCTCACCCACCGCCCACCCACCACGCCCACCAGTCCAGCACCCACGCACCAAACCCAAGCACCACCCACCACCCACCTACCACCGCCCCACCGCCCACCCACCACCCACCTACCACCCACCCAACGCTCCAGCACCCACGCATCACACCTGACACCCGCCCACAACCTACCCACCACCCGCCCACCACCCACCCGCCACCCACCCCACGCACAAGCACAGGGGGCGCACCCTGGGCCCCACGGCGTTTCACGTAGGGTCGTTGTCCCGTCACAGCGAGGCCCAGCTGTGTTTGCCTTCACGTGGTTGGTTACCCACCCTTGCTGCTCGGTTTGGCATTGGCTCGAGCCTTAGCCTGGCTGCTTGGCTGCGTATTTCGCCGTGCTTCTGGCGTTCGTGGAAGCGCGCGTCGCTGAGGAGGGCCGTTGTTTCCACCGATCCGTTCGGGCCCTGCGGTTTCTTGCGCGCAGTGTCGTTTGATGCTCCACGCGTCTGCTCGGACCTCTTGTGTTTCCCTGATTCGGTTTTGGCACTTCTCGGTTTGCTCGCAGGTGTGTTGGGGCCGCGTGATGGCTTGTGCCCAACAGATGTGGCGGACTAGCGCTACGGCGCAACGATGGTGCGTCCACGTTGGGACGTGCGCTGCACATGGCGCCTCCGTAGTCAAACATATCTAGTGATGTTTTTTCTGTTCGCTGTGGGGCATCCGTGATGGCCGTGTGTGATTTCTTGGAAAATCCTATGTTTTTTTTGTGATTGGTTTTCGTGTTTTTTTCATGATTGATCAATGTTTTGGCGATTTCTCTCCCTGGGGCAGTTTACAGGCCCAAACGAAACACAATCTTAGGGCCAAACCGGGTCGTGGTCGAGCCTTTCTGGAAGGCTTCTTGGGGTCTTTTGGGAGGCCCTTCGGAGGCCTCTTGGCGATATTGTGGGGTCCTCCTGGGGCCTCCTTGTGGCCTTTTCGGGAATCTTGGGATGGTCTTTTGCGCCTCCGAGGGGCATCGTGGGGGCCTGCGGTCGGTCTCGGGGGCCATATGTCGGGGAACTGTTCGACGTGTCATTTCGGATTCCCTCTCTTGGGGCTATCTCGGGAGCCTCTTGAATTCTCTTGAGAGGCCTCTTGGGCTGTCTTGCAGCCCTCTTGGTATGTTTTTGGGCTGTCCTGGGAGCCTCTTGGTTTGACTGGAGGCGATATTTGGGCCGTCTCGGGCGGTCGGAAGCCTGACAAGGCTTTGACGCCAAGATTCTTCTAACACCGATGGGAACTCAACGACATTTGGCTTCTGTAGGCCCTCCTGGGCCTGTCTGGGAGCATCTTGGGGCTACTATCTTGAGGCCTCTTGGGACTGTCTTCGGGCCATCTTGAGGCCTGCCACCTATTGATCCCGACTCTTGGGCTCTCTTGGAGCTCTCTTGAGGCGCCTTGCAGCGATCTGGAGGGTCCCGCGAAGGCAGCCCCTTGCTGCCACCGGTAATCCTCCTTCGGAGAGCCGTCCTGGTTAGCGGGTCGGCATGCTGGCGCTGGGCGTGGATGAGGATTGTGATGGCCAGGGTGAGGACGGTGAGGATAGAATGGGGAGGAGGAGGAGGAGGAGGAGGAGGAAGAGGAGGACAAAGGGTAGCGGGTAGCATGAAAGGCATAAGCAGGATGAGGGTGAGGACAGTGGGGTTAGGAGGAGGAGGAGGAGGAGGAGGAGGAGACGGAGGTGAAGGAGGAGGAGGAGGAGGAAGAAGAAGGGTAGCAGGAGTGGAATAAGTCAGATGAGGGTGGCAGAAGCAAGACGAGTAGGAGGGCGGCGAGGATCCTTCGGAGAGGGTATAACAATGCACTGCTCCGTGTGCAGGTCTCAGAATGCATTGCTCCGGGTGCAGGTCAGGGCGAGCGAGTCTGAGGCGAAGGAGGGGGAAGAGGGGAGGATGAGGATGAGGCCTCTCGATTGCTTCTTGGAGCGATCTCGGGGCCGAACCGGGTCGTGGGCAAGGTGCCTTTGGAGGAGTTTGTTTGGAGTCTCGTGGGAGGCTCCGCGGCGCCGTCTTGGCGACATTTGTGGGACCTCCTGAGGCCTCATTCTTGGTCAGCAGGTCGGTCTGAGGACGCTGGGCATGCAGGAGGTGAGGATGATGATGAAGACGGTAAGGGCGAGGGTGAAGACAGTGAGGTCAGGATGAGCAGTAGGAAGAGGAGGGGATTTGGCCTCTCACTGGCTTCTTGGGTCGATCCCAGGCAAAACGGGGTCGTGTGGACAAGACGCCTCTTGTCGAGCCGTCTTGAGGCCTGCCACTTATCGGCGGTGAGCCCGGGGGGAAGTGAGAAGGAGAAGGCCATCTCCGAAGGCTCTGAAGCCCCCCGACCTTCTGAGAAGTTTTCCAAGACTTCACCGAAGACACCGAAAACTTCTCTGAAGGCGCGAGGGCTTTCAAGAAGTCCCGCCGCCTTCTGAAAAGGCCTTCTCCTTGTCACTTCCCCCATGGCTCGCCGCCGAACCTATTGATCCCGACTCTCTGGCCCTCTCTGAGTTCCCTTGGGGTCCCATGAGGCGCTCCTGGGGCGATCTGGAGAGCTCCGAAGACCGCCTCCCGGAGTTCGGGCGTCCGTGGCACCGACCGCCCGGGACCACCCCAGGAGTTGCCCGGGAGTTGGCCGGGGTTCGCCCGAGGTTCGTTTCGTCCGGGGAGCCCCCAGGGACCGCCACGCGCGCGCGAATTAGATACTTGAGTCACCTGCAACCCGAGATTCTAGCACGCCTCTGACCCGTTGGGTCGGCGAGTTGCTCTGGCCGCCAACGTTCGAGCTGTTTCGTGTTGGTGGCGACATGCTTTGCAACGAACACCAGAAAATTAGATCAGTCGATCTTGCACGGTGTTCAGTTTTCGAGTTTGTGTCAGCGCCTGTTGCAGGCAGGTTTGTGGCCCCAGTCGCGCCTGCTCTGGGGAAAGGGCCGCTTCTAGTCTTTGTAAAATACATGGGCAAGACTGTGGAGCATCACGTGCATGAGGATGCTACAGTAGGCGGACTGGCACAGCTCGTGTCGCAGCGCTGTGGTGACAGCGTCCTGGCGATCACACCGTCAATTGTTCATCATGGGCCAGAGTGCGGCTCAGTGACTATCGAGTGGCTCAGCATGGCAGGCTCTGTGCTGACGAAGACGACAACCAGGACGAGCGAGTCGATTGGCTCTCTGAGGGCACGGGTCGCGGAGAGGCTCTGGACACCCGTGCACCGCCTCCGCTTGTGCCTGTCAGATGGGCGGTTGCTTGAGATCATGGAGGACCGCATGTGGGATAACGTGAATTCTGTTAAGGGTGGGACGTTCGTGTCTACGAAGTCTTTTTGAAGTTCTGCTGCTTGCAGCGGACAGTTCGGATTTTTTGCGAACCAGATACAGAGCAACAGGGTCGGTCTGACCCACGCTGTGGCCCAACTCGTAGGCCAGCCCCTTCTTTCTTCGAAAGGGCATGGATCGAAACAGAACCAGAGCCCCCCGTCATGTTTGAGCAGCCTGGAGCGGACCTCCCAGTGGATGGCGCGGGGTTCCCCCCCAGGGACCTCCGCAAAGCGGGTTCCACCTCGTTGTTCCTTCTCGTGCTACTCGTAGAACACAAAGCTGAGTAAACATCAACTTTCGGAGGTCCGCGCGGATTTCTTGGATCGACGCTGGACTTCCCTCCCTGGCGTGCCAAGCGCGCCAGAGGTGGCGCTGGAGGCGCCAGGGGGCAACCCGCGCAGACCTCCAAAAGTTGATGCTGGTGCCGTTCCTTGCTCCTCTATTCTTCCTCCCTCCCTCCCTCTCCTTCTCTCCTCTCCCTTCTCCTTCGCCCACTTCCCGTGAACTGATGGGCGAAACAACATATCCGTATCCGCGGCCTCGCGGGCTGGGCCCCTTTGGCCACGACCCCGCGGATATGGGGCTTGTGCTTTCGCGGATGCCCCGCGGAACGTGTATCAGTGCGACGGCGTATCCGCGGGATCGCGCCTCCCCTGGAATGCAGGCCCCGAGGGCGCGGATAATTATTACGCATGCCTTTGCCGCTCGTGGTGAGCAGACCACCCCATTTGAGACACTTGCGGGAGGACGACCTGGTGCTCTCCGGAGATCGGCTCTGCGAGGCTGGGCGGTGCCCCGAGGAGGGGAGGCGCGTCTCGGAGAAGTGGTCCCTGGCAAGAGCCCTCGGCGTGGGCGACTGCGGCGGCCCGCCGGGTCCGGAGAGGCTTCCCTGGCAGCTGTTCTGCGATCCCGCGGTTCTGGGCCCCCCAGATGGTGTCGGATTACATTGGGTCGGAGGATCGTGCCGCGCCGCATCGCCGATGCATCGGCGATGCGGCTCGATGTGAAGCCCTGCTTTCTCGACGCCGACGTCCCCGATGCTTCCCCGACGTCGCCGATGCATCGCCGTTGCATCGCCGATCCATCGGCGATGCGGCGTGATCCTCCGACCCCATCAACTCTGACCTCCCCTGGGGGGCCTCTAGAGGTGGGCCAGTGGTGGCGCCGCTCCGACGAGGACTGGTTCCTATCATTTAGCGGTTCCAAGAGCAGCGTCGACCTCTGGAGCCCCACGTGGCGCCGGTTCAAGTCGCCCGATGACGAGTCTTATTGGTGGTTTCGAGCGCGTGACGGCGAGTACTTCCTGGAGCCCACCGACAGCGGAGCGGGGCAGCGTCAGGCATGGAAGAAGTACACCCCGCTCGTGGGAAGGAGCTTCTGGATGCGATCTCGCGAGGACTGGTTCTTCATCGACACAGGCCTGAAGCTCCCTGCGGATCACCCCTTTGGGGGGGACGCCAGGCTGAGGTGGCAGCGCTTCCAGTCGCCCGATGGCGTTGCTTTTGGGTGGTTCCGCGATGTAGACGGGGAGTGGTTTTGGGAGGACACGGGCAGCTGCTGAGCAGTGGTCGCGGCTGTCATCGGAATGTGAGCGCGGCAAGCCCGCGCAGATGGCGGGGCTGCCTGGCCGCCGCAGAGCGCTATCGTGGGCTAGGAGCGCTAGCGCATGTAGGCGGCCACCAGCGACCCGCCAATACCAAACGTCAGTCGAACAATCGTTGGCGGAGCTCATCCTGGCAGCACCCGTCGCAGAAGGTTGCGTGACACAGAGCCTGCCCCAGCACCGATGGGTCGCAGATTGGTATTGGTGGGCCGTTGGCCCTTCCTCAGCGTCTTTGACAGCCCATCCCCAGTGCGCGTCGGACAGAACCTCTGCATCGCTCGCGCACTGAATTATTCATTGTGGTGTTCATCACCGCCAAGATTGAAATCAGCTCGAGGTGTCGCTCGCCGATGTTCCACTGTTTTTTCTGCTGCCCATTACCACTGGCTGCCATTGTTATGACAGCCAGTTGTCAAGAGAGGGAAGAGAAGGATGCCGAGGAGGAGGAGGAGGAGGAGGAGGAGGAGGAGCAGAAGGAGGAGGAGGAGGAGGAGGAGGGGGAGGAAAAGGAGGAAGAGGAAGCCTCTCGAGGCCCTCTTCTGGCCAGCCTCTTGGACGCGTTGGAGGGGGCCTCTTGGCATTCGGAGGCCGTCTTGGGGCTCTCTCTGGGCAGTCACGGGTCCCTCCTTGGGCGCTTTAGGGCAACCTCGGACGTCTATTGGGCAGTGTTGGGACTGTCTCGGGGCCCTTTTGGTCTGCCGTGCGGGCCTCTTGGGGGCCCCTTGGGCCGTCTTGGGGCGATCGTTTGGGTCTATGGGGCTGTCTTGCGGCGTCGGATGCCAGAGAAGGCAGACACGCTACAACCGAAATCCATGACTTGGGCTTCAGGAGGTCCTCTTGGAGCCGTCTTGGGGCGCCTTGGGGCCTCTTTGGCCGTCTGGAGGGCATCCAGGGCTGTCGTGGGGTCATACTGGCAGTCCTGAGGGCGTCTTGGGACCGTCTTGGACCCATCTCAGTCGTCTTGGAGGTCGCCTTGGGGACCATCTTGGCCGTCTTGGAGGCGAGTTGTCTGGTTTCCCCTCCATGCGCGTCCTTCCGGGTGGCCAGCGCATTAGGCCGACTGCCCCCGGGAACGCTTTGTACAGTCGGCACGCCGTGCGCCCGCGTGGCAAGCCACAGGGGAGGCGGATCGAGGACGCCGACTGCAAATCACCGCCGCCCTCTGCCTCTTGGAAGCGCATGTGTGGCCGAACGTTTGGCGAGATCTTGGCCAAGCCATCGGACTGTACATTTCGCCCAGCCGCTCTGGAAACTCCTCGGGGAACAGCAGGGAGGACGAGGGGGGGATCAGGCGACAGAGGAGGGAAAAGAGGAAGAGGAGGAGGCCTCTCGGGAGCTCTATGGGGCCTCCTGGGAGCTCTCTGGGGGCCTCTTGGGGGCCTCCTGGGTGCCCCCTTGGGCCCCTTCAGGGCCTTTGGGAGCTTCTTGGGGGCCTCGTTGGCCGTCTTACTGCGTTCCTGGCCCGTCTGTCGCCGTCGGTAGCCGTCAGCGGGGCCTCTCTCAACCGACTCGGCGCCCTCTGGGGGCGCTGCAGGGCCGTCTGGGAGGCCATCTTGGGCGTCTTGGAGGTCTCCTGGGCCGTCTCGGGGCCTTCTTGGGGCCGTCTTGGGGGCATCATGGGCCGCCGTGGGGCCATCTTGCAGGTCTCCTGCGCGATTTTCAGTACCCCTGGCGTCGCCCTGGGCCGTCGGAACCGCGAAACTGGGCAAACACAAATCCTTCAAACACGTATTGATCAATAGTGATTTCGGGCTTTTCAGGCTTTGCCGTTAGACCCCTTGGAGGTCTCTTGGATTGTTTGGGATGCCTCTTTTTGGGTTTCTTGGGCCGCCATCTTTGATGCACCGTGGGCCGTCTTGGACACATCTTGCGGCCAGCTTGGCTTCACTTGGGACCATCTTGCCCGTCTTGGAGGCCAGCTTAGCCGTGTTGGAGCCGTCCAGGGGAGAAACACCCACGGACCAGTTGTTTCCCCATTCCTTCTGGGTGATCGGCGAGATCAGCCGAAGACCCACGGGGAACCTTGAAAGACGTTTCAGACCAATTCAAAGTCTAGCACGCCAGGCGCCCCTCTGATAAATCAACAGGGGGCGGCGGATTCGGCCCATCCCGCTAAAGTGCTTGGCCTGTGGGCCAGAGTCCTCGCGGATGTTTGTTGTGGTCTCTATGGTTGCCTCTCAGGGAGGCCGCTTGGGCGGGCTATTGAGGCCTCTCGGGGGCGTCTTAGAACCCTAGTGGTGGCCTCGTGGATGCATCCTGGGGCCTTCTTAGGGCCTCTTGGGCGTTTCTGGGGAGCTTTTGGGGGTATGCTGCGGAACTTTCGGAAATTGGTTGGGGAAAGGTGTCCCACGGCCCCTTCGTTTTTCCCACTCCAGGGTCGAATGCGCTTATAATGTGATTTTCGTCTCCAAAGAAAATCACGACACACACACACACACCAGAAGCCACGCGACAAGCTCAGAGACATCTGGCCGTTGGGTGCCTGGGCAAAGTGCTGGGTGTTTGCGGTAGTCGACACATCGGAGTCGAAGGGATCTGAGGACACCCTACTCAGAGCCCACGGCACGTTGGCGGGTACCACGGCGATAACCATTGCGAGTACGATCGCCGGTTGTCCTGTTACGCTAGCGGGAGCTTGGTTCCGCATCATCACGTATGATTGGCGCTCGGCCCCCAACATGCCTGGCGGTCGTGCTGCCTGCGGGGTGGACGGCCCGCGGACATCTTTCTTCGGAGTGTCAGGGAATGCCCCATACCCCCATACAAGCACATGGGCCAGGGAGAGATGGAGTAGAGCGCACCGCATACACACACTCACACGCACACGCACACACACACACACACACACACTCACGCGCACGCGAACATTTTTCGGCGCCGTCTCCTCACGAACGGCGTTGAGGCGGATCAGGTCAAAAGCAGCAGATCGCGCGCAACTAGTCGCCCGGGCCCTCAGTGACCGCATACACACACACACACTCATTCATTGGGTTGTGCGATATGTGCAGTGGCATGCGCACGCACGGCAATTGCGCAGAACGCGTAGACGTGAGTGCGAGACAGTAGTTGCGTGTATGGGCTTGGGTTCTGCGAGCCTCATACGATGCAAGGCGTCGTATTCACACACGCGTGCGATGTATAACTTATCACAGGCTGTTGCGCGTGCGTGTATGAGTATGTATGGCTCGGGTCGGCAGCCACTCGAGTTGTGGATGGGGGTGTTTCTTGCGAAGGAGCTATGGTGCCCCCTGGAAGAAGGTGAGGCGCCTCCTCCCCGTCTCCGCCCCATGGAATACAGGAACATTTTCTTCAATCATACGCGGTGAGGAGCTTTTGTTTAGCGTACCGCGGCGGCGGCCCCTCAGACATGTTTTGACTTGCAAGCTTTGTGGAAGACGATCAACTGAGAGGAGTCGCGCTGCCACACATCTCCCATATTGAAACAAGTTTGAACATGCTGTAAGAAGAAGATCACACATTTCCTTCAGTCATGGTGAAAACATTGTTCCACATCAATGTAACAGGTAAAATTCGATGGTAGGGCTGTTCGAGTGTCCATTACGGCGTCCACAGTGCAAGCTGATAGCGTCTCGCTCAGCATCGTGGAGCGGAAGCTGGGAATCGCTTGGAAACCGGGGTGCGCCGCGGCGACGCATGGTAATTATGCCAGAGCCGGCGGCGCGACACGCTGAGCAGCTGTTCTTGCCCGCATTGTCCCCAGTGGATTGGCCGCACTCCAGAGCCTGGCCCCGTCCCACAGCTCCCCACAACTTCCCAGAGCCGGGCGTGTCACTCACGGGGTCTGCTGGCCTGTCGGGGCCTGGAGTGCTGGGGTCAAGCGGTGGGCCCAACCTCTCTGTTCTCTTGCTCTCTCGGGGGGGCCGAGCCCTCCCCGTCGTCTTCACGTGCTTCCCGGCGCCGTGCTCGTCTGGGCGCCATGCTGCGCTTTCTGTTCGGGTATCGATGGCTTCGCGCCGCGGCGAAGACCGCTCGCGTCAGACCCCATGTCAGGCGGCGTCCTCATCTGCCAGTGGGGCGCCCCCGCGTCCGCTTCGGTCCGGTGGCAGACGCCAAGTGGGACGGCCGTCGGTGATTCGCCTCTCCTGGGGGTCTCTGGGTGGCCCTTTCGGGGCCCTGTTGGGCCGTCTTGGGGGCGGGGGTGGGGCATTCTTGGGCCGCTTTGGGATTGTCTTGGGGGCCTCACCGGCGATCTTGAGGCTCTGTCGGGGGCTCTCGGGCCGCGTCGCTGGACCGCCTTACGCTTCCAGGAGCGCGAGAGGCGAGAACGCGAACATCGTTCGTTAAACACATGAAGAACATCTTGGGCCTGTGCTTCTGGAAGCCTTCTTCGTCCATCTTGCGGCGTCCTGGGGGCTTCTTCGGCCCTCTCGAGGCTATCTCGGGCCGTCCGTCATGTTCTCTTGTTCCCTTGTCTTGGGCTCGTGAGGCTTTCAGCGGGGCCCCTGGGCTTTTTGAGCGCTCCTGGCCGCGCGGCGGCACCCCGTAGAAATCCGAGGCAATGTCTGGCTGCTGGTAACTTAGAGGATCGGCCGTTGCGTGCGATTTGTGTGTTTTGCGCGCGCGCGTGTGTGTGTGTGCGTGTGTGTGTGTGTGTGTGTTCGTATGTGCGTGCGTTTGTGCGTGCGTGCGTGCGTGGGTGCGTGCGTGCGTGCGTGTGTGTGTGTATGTGTGTGTATGTGTGCGTGCGTGCGTGCGTGCGTGCGTGCGTGCTTGTATGCGTGCGTGTATGTGTGTGTGTGTGGGTGTGTGCGTGTGTTTGTGCGTGGATAGGCGGGGTTGGGGGGGGCGTGTGTGGGCGGGGGGTCGCCTCCCCCCCTCCGTAAGAAGACCGGAAAGGACGCGGGACTGGGGAGACAAAGCGTGGAAATAACAGGCACGACAAATAATGGAATGCAGCAGTCCCGCAGACAGTTTCACGGCCTTGCGCCCCCAGGGGGGGGGGGCCAGCGGATTTTTGTTTCGGGCCAGGTTGGGCAAATCGGATGGTGGGCTGTTCTGTTCGTGGCGCGAGGTGCGCGCTCTATGCGTGAAATGTATTATGTTGGATTGCGACGCGTCACGTTGAACCCCAGAATGCACGTGCAACACTTGGTTTTTCTCCACCAGCTTTTGGGTGACCGCGCCCGCTAGGTGACCGCGCCCGCCAGGTAAACGCATTGAGTTCCATAGGTGGTCGCTACCAGTTTCCAGGTGAACCGCCCGCGTGTGGTCAACCGCGTGGTGCACGCTCTCCGTCGGGAGTGCAATCCGTTGGAATGTATCGTGTCATGTTGACGCCCAGAGAGTATGTGAAACGCTTGGCTTGTCTCAACAAGTTTTCTGGTCACCCAGACACGCGCGGGTCGTCCGCTCGGCTTTTTCCCCACCATCTTGTGGTGTTGGGTCCTCCGCGTTCCCTCCTTCCTTCCTCG